TTTTATGTTATTTTAGAAACATTTTCATTTAGAATTTATATTTTGATTAAAATTTTTAAAATAAATTTACTTTCATAGTAATAATTAAAGAAAATTATTTTTTAAGTAGAAAAATCAACCGCATGTAATTATTATTATGTAAAAAAATAAATACCTGTAACCTTTAGCTTTATGCAATTGATGACTGTTGTGTGTACTGTTAAAAGTGCTGCGACGTGAAAAATTGTTATTAATAAATATTATATGCTATCCATTGATTATTTTCTGTTAAATTTAATTATTAGTTTTTGCTGTTGATGCCTATTGACCTATGTCCTTATCTTGTGAACTCAAAATATATGTTGTTTCCTTTTTTACACTTCCTTATCACCAATCTTGAGGTTATATTTTCCGGATTGATAGTAGTTTATCCCTCCACTGTAAAAAATGCAAAAAATATATTTTCATTATTCATTTGTATATATTATATATTAATTGCAAGTGCAAATCAAATGCAAGTTCCATTGATTTGAATTTAAGATGCGCGCGCATTTTAAAGGGCTCGCGCATACCACGCAGAAAAAGTATAAGAGTGAGAGAGATAGAAAATTCAAATTTAAATCTACTGACTCTCTGATTGGTTCTTAATGGCCGCCTGTGCAGCAGCTGGAAGTGCGTGCGCGCGCATCTTATTAACATAGTAGTCAAAAATTGTTTTTTGAAATTAAAAATTTTTAATCAATTAATAAAAGATATTTAATGTTACCTTACATGTACTGCTTAAAGGCAACATCCTATTGACCTATTTCCTTAAGATGTAACCTCAAAATATGAGGTTATGTTTCCTTCATGAGACTACCTTATCAATAATATTGATGTTATATTATCAGGATTGTTAGTCGTTTGTCCCTTTACTGTAAAAAATGAAAAAAATATATTTTCCTAATTCATATGTATATATTATACATCAATTGCAAGTGCAAGTCAAATGCAAGTTCCATTAATTTGAACTTGGATGCGCGCGCATTTTAAAGCACACCACGCAGAAAATGTATAAGAGTGAGAGAGACAGAGAATTCAAATCTACTGACTCTCTGATTGGCTCTTGTTGGTACCTGTGCTGGCAGCCGGAAGTGTGCGAGAGCCTTTTGAAAGTGCAATTAATATGCAAATGCGATTGACTTAGATGCGCGCGCATCGTATTCGACATAATAGTCAAAATTTTTTTTTGGATTAATATATTTTAATTGATTAATTAAATGTACTTAGCTTACTTTTCATGTACTCTTTAATGCGCTGCGACGTGAATAATTGTTGTTAATAAATGTCGTCTGCTATGCATTGAATATTTTTTGTTAAATTTGAATATTAAGGGTTGCATAGCAAATGATAATAACCTCAAACGCAATTTCCTATTGACCTATGTCCTGAATATGTGACCTTGAATTCTGAGGTTATGTAGGCTTCTTGACATTTACTCATCATCAAAATTTAAGGATATATTTTTAGGATTGTTAGTATATTAACTCTTCTTTTAAAAAAATACAAAAAATATGTTTTCATTATTCATATGTATATATTATACATCAGTTGAAAGTGCAAGTCAAATGCAAATTCCATTAATTAGAATTTAAGATGCGCGTACAGCTTAAGGCGTTCGTACACCACGCAAAAAAAACATACAAGAGTAAGAGAGAGAGAGTACATTCAAATTTAAATCTACTAACTCTCTGACTGGCTCTTACTGGCCGCTTCTTCTGGCAACCAAATGTGTGCTAGCACGTTTAAAATAAAGAAAATTTTAATTTTATGTATTAGGAGAACATGAAAAGGTTGGGGTATTCTCAATAACCAAGACTGCGCATGCGCCTTAAAATTTTCATTATTTCGATAGTTTTTGCACTAACATTCAAAGAAAATTTGAAATTTAGGTATCAGGAGAACATGAAGAGGTCGGAGTAGTTTTATTTAAGTAGACTGCGCATGCGCTTAACAAATATTCATTGTTTTGATAGATTTCCAACAAAATTTAAAAGAAATTTTTAATTTTTGGTATCAGGAGAACATGAAGAGGTTGGGGTAAACCCATTTTCGTTAATGGCGCATGCGCATTTCAAATATTCATTGTTTTGATAGATTTTCACAAAATTTAAAAGAAATTTTTAATTATCAGGAAAATATGAAGATGTCGGGGTAATCTCGAAATGCAAATTCCCGCCAAATTTGGAATTTCAAATATAATAAAAAAAGCATGTCTTTAAATAAAGAAAATTTAAAATTCAAGTATCAGGAGAACATAAAGAGGTCGGGGTATTCTCAAAATGCAATTCCCGCCAATTTTGAAATTTTAAATATAATAGAAATGCAAAAGCACGTGTTCAAATAAAGACATTTTTAATTTTGAGTATTAGGAGAACATGAAGAGGTAGGGGTAATCTCGAAATGCAATTCCCGCCAAATTTGTAATTTTAAATATAATATTAATTCAAAAGCACGTGTTTAAATAAAGAAATTTTGAATTTTAAGTATCAGGAGAACATGAAGAGGTTGGGGTAAACCTATTTTTGTTGATGGCGCATGCGCATTTCAAATATTCATTGTTTTGATAGATTTTCAACAAAATTTAAAAGAAATTTTTAATTTTTGGTATCAGGAGAACATGAAGAGGTTGGGGTATACCTATTTTCGTTGATGGCGCATGCGCATTTCAAATATTCATTGTTTTCATAGATTTTCAACAAAATTTAAAAGAAATTTTTAATTTTTGGTATCAGGAGAACATGAAGATGTCGGGGTAATCTCGAAATGCAATTCCCGCCAAATTTGAAATTTTAAATATAATATTAATTCAAAAGCACGTGTTTAAATAAAGAAATTTTGAATTTTAAGTATCAGGAGAACATGAAGAGGTTGGGGTAAACCTATTTTTGTTGATGGCGCATGCGCATTTCAAATATTCATTGTTTTGATAGATTTTCAACAAAATTTAAAAGAAATTTTTAATTTTTGGTATCAGGAGAACATGAAGAGGTTGGGGTATACCTATTTTCGTTGATGGCGCATGCGCATTTCAAATATTCATTGTTTTCATAGATTTTCAACAAAATTTAAAAGAAATTTTTAATTTTTGGTATCAGGAGAACATGAAGATGTCGGGGTAATCTCGAAATGCAATTCCCGCCAAATTTGAAATTTTAAATATAATATAAATTCAAAAGCACGTGTTTAAAAAAGAAATTTTTAATTTTTGGTATCAGGAGAACAGGAAGTGGTTGGGGTAAACCTATTTTTTTTGATGGCGCATGCGCATTTTAAATATTCATTGTTTTGATAGATTATCAACAAAATTTAAAAGAAATTTTTAATTTTTGGTATCAGGAGAACATGAAGAGGTTGGGGTAAACCCATTTTCGTTAATGGCGCATGCGCATTTCAAATATTTATTGTTTTGATAGATTTTCAACAAAATTTAAAAGAAATTTTTAATTTTTGGTATCAGGAGAACATGAAGAGGTTGGGGTAAACCCATTTTCGTCAATGGCGCATGCGCATTTCAAATATTCATTGTTTTGATAGATTTTCACAAAATTTAAAAGAAATTTTTAATTTTTGGTATCAGGAGAACATGAAGATGTCGGGGTAATCTCAATATGCAATTCCCGCCAAATTTGAAATTTTAAATATAATATAAATTCAAAAGCACGTGTTTAAATAAAGAAATTTTTAATTTTAAGTATCAGGAGAACATGAAGAGGTTGGGGTAAACTTATTTTCGTTGATGGCGCATGCGCATTTCAAATATTCATTGTTTTGATAGATTTTCAACAAAATTTAAAAGAAATTTTTAATTTTTGGTATCAGGAGAACATGAAGAGGTTGGGGTAAACCCATTTTCGTTGATGGCGCATGCGCATTTTAAATATTCATTGTTTTCATAGATTTTCACCAAAATTAAAAGAAATTTTTAATTTTTGGTATCAGGAGAACATGAACAGGTTAGGGTAAACCTATTTTCGTTGATGGCGCATGCGCATTTCAAATATTTAATGTTTTGATATTTTTGAATGAAATTTAAACATTTGTAATTATCAGGATAATATGAAGATGTCGGAGTAATCTCAAAATGCACTTCCCGCCAAATTTGGAATTTCAAATATAATAAAAATACAAAAGCACGTGATTAAATAAAGAAATTTTTAATTTTAAGTATCAGGAGAACATGAAGAGGTTAGGGTATTCTTAATTACCAAACCTGCGCATGCGCTTTTTAATTTTTCATTGTTTTAATAGTTTGTGCTCTAAAATTTGGAAGAAAATTTGAAATTTAATTATCAGGAGAACATGAAGAGGTTAGGGTAATCTCAAAATGCACTTCCCGCCAAATTTGGAATTTCAAATATAATAAAAATACAAAAGCACGTGATTAAATAAAGAAATTTTTAATTTTAAGTATCAGGAGAACATGAAGAGGTTAGGGTATTCTTAATTACCAAACCTGCGCATGCGCTTTTTAATTTTTCATTGTTTTAATAGTTTGTGCTCTAAAATTTGGAAGAAAATTTGAAATTTAATTATCAGGAGAACATGAAGAGGTTAGGGTATTCTCAAAATGCAATTCCCGCCAATTTTGTTATTTCAAATGTAATAGAAATGCCAAAGCACGTGTTAAAATTAATAAATTTTTAATTTTAAGTATTAGGCGAATATAAAGAGGTTAGTGTATTCGTATTTACGTTAACTGCGCATGGGCTTTACTAATTTCATTGTTTTGGTAGTTTCCAATAAATTTCACAGAAATCTTGAAATTTTTAAGTATCAGGAGAACATGGAGAGCTTGGGGTATTCTTAAAAACCAATGCTGCGCATGCGTCTTTAAAAATATCATTGTTTTGATAGTTTTTGCAAAAAAAAGCACGTGTTAAAATAATGAAAATTTTTATTTAAGGTATTAGGAAAACATAAAGAGGTTATGGTATTTTTAAAAAATATTTATAACACTTTATAAAATAAAACAATAATGCTGTTGGTTATACAATTACATCTTTATTAATCTTAACTTTTTAGGAGTACAAAAAATGAATACAACATAAAACATTTACTTCCGTTTTGGCCTATTGATTATTAAATATGCCTATACTTTTTTTTCTTTTATGACATTATATCATTTGACTTATAAGAGAAAAAAAAGAAGTATTAACTTGATTGCTGTTAAAAGTAGATTTTTTTAAATTCATGATCAAAAATGAAAAATTAAGAAATATATCTTTTCTTAAGAGATAAAACACCATAAATATCAAATTATTTTGATCATAGAATCAAAAATAATAATTTTCACAATTATTATAATTTTTTTTAATCGTCCAAATAGATAATTCCATAATTTCTTGAAACAATTTCAGTGAAAAATAGAATACATTATGCAATTATCTCTATGCATGTGTAATTTTTGTGAGTGTGTACCATTTTTCACTATATATATATATTTATTGTAATCAAATGTTTCGCTTGTTCAAGTTTTAAGATCTTTCCTTTTCTTCTTTTTTATATACAATAAAAACATTTTTCGCTGTTCTTCTTTCTGTCCACTTGTCATTTCCATTTTTAGCACCTTAACTGTAAAAAAATTAAACTCATTTAAGTAATAATAAATAAATATTAATAAATTAATAAATATAATAATAATAAATAGAATCTTGCAAAATTAAATATAAAAGAATTAATTTAATTACCGTCTGTCACGGGAGTCTGATCGAGAACGACGATCTCGGCTTCGGCTTCGAGACATAGATCTTCTGCGTGGTGAATGTGAACGAGATCTAAAAAAAACAAATTTATATAATTTGCAATTTAGAAAATATATAAAAAAAATTATGAGCAGTTCGCTCGATAACGTTTTAATTTTTTGCGAATTTTTTTTTTATATAATAAATAAACAAAGGATTATTGTTTATAATGAAAATAAAATGCAAAATATTTAAATCAAATATTAAATAAAACAAAATTTATTTACTGTAAATATACTATAAGATAAATATTATTTAATATAAATATTATTTCATATAAAAAATTTACATTTATAAAAATATATGAATTTTTCTAAATAAAATAAATAAATATCGTATATAAAAAAGAATTACATATAATGGCAATTAAATTATTATGTAATGAGCAAAAAATGAAAACGAGGTCGAACGAATAAATTAAACACATATAGGTATAAAAATCATCACAAGGCAATGTAAATTGAATTAGGATCGACTAAGTCCTATTTACCTGGGGGTGATAAAATACTAGTTAGGTATTTTTTTATATATAGTAATTAATAATTAATTTTAAAAAAATGACATCTCACCATAAATGGTAAATCAACCAACAACAAAAAAATTAAGTATAGTTAAATAACCAAAAATTATTGAAAAAAAAATTAAATGTTAAAGATGTATGGATTCCAATGACAATTCTCCAAGGCTTCTTAAATTTTTTTTTTTTACATTAAAAAATGATTTCCCAAACTTGAATTAGGGTTACAAAATTAGCATTTATTTTTTTCTGCAATTTTTGAAATTTTTAATTTCTAATTTAGTAAAATAATATATTTAAAAAAAAATACTTTGCAATTAAATTTTATAATAAAAGTTTTGATTTTTTATAGTGGACAATGAAAAATTCGTTTTTGCATTCGAATATATGAAAATTAAAAAAAAAAAGAATTATTCATCCTTGGAGATAATGTCGTATTGGTAAAATATAATAAAAAATTTTGGAAAATCGGTGAAATACCAGACAACTGTGAACATGTAGTGGTGGTGGTGGTGGTTGGTGGTGGTGATGGTGGTACTTGGTTGGGTGGGATGGTGTGTAGGTGGTGATCATTTTGCTTTGCTCGGTCGAAGAGAAGTAGCGGTCGCATGTCAGCTAACAAGTAAAACGTGATGGTTGACGAGTAGAAGTAGCAGTAGAAGTAGCAAGTAGTAGTAGTAGAGCTTGGGGTGCGGATGGATCGATTTTTTGTGTTTTTTTTTTTTTTTTGAATCGCGTCAGCCGTTTTTATTTTATTTTTTTGATGGGTTTTTTTTCACGATGCTCCTATTTTGTCGCTCTTAGAAGTTGAGGTAGCCGGAAGATGTCGTTTTTTTGATTGATGGGGAGGTGACGAATCGACGATAACCCGGACGGACAGCAAAATAACGAACTGTCATGCGACGGACAAAGTTGACTCCTATCGGTGACGTGGTGGTGACTGATGGTGACGTGGTTGGGAGATTAGTGGGCAGGCAGGCAAAAGATTTTTTTTTTGTTCAGTTTTTTTGATTGCTAGCAATAATTTTTTTTTGTTCACGGTGGCTGTAGTAGTAGTAGCAGTAGAAGTAGTAGTAATGACGGGGAGACGAGTAGAGCTAGAAGCTGACGCTGGTAGAATCTGCAAACGTCAGTTTTACCAATTTTTATAATCATCATTGTTATTCATACTCCTTGCCACTATTTGTACACGCTTTTTATATATTATTTTTTTTATAATCATACGAGAAATATAAAATTTTATCAATCATTTAAAAAAAAAAATTGAACTTATTTTCAAAAAAAAAAAAAGCTAGACTGCCCACATCTGGAATTATTTCCCATAAGAGTACTTTTTACATCACTTTCAACAATATAAAAAAAGAGAAATTTTGTGTAACTGAAAATAAAATGTTTTAGAAAAATAATATAACATTTTGAAATATGAAAATACCTGAATTTTTGAATATTCAAATAAACGAAATTTTCGAAAAAATTAAAATAGAATTTTTTTTTCTTAAAAATAATTTATAAAATTTCGTTCATGTGAATATTTCGGTAATTAAAAAGTACTCAAATCATTCAGAATATTTTACAGTAAAAATGAAATGACCTAAAAAAAAGAGAAATAAAAAATTAATATTAGATTTTCTAATTCCACGAATCAAAACAACACCAGACACCACTTTTTCTGCTCTAATCAATCCAGTTAAATATTGGATAGAATAAAACGGTCGCCAATGAGAATCAATCTGATCTCTTTTTTTAATTTTTACATTATTATTTCGTCCAGTCAACAAGGATTCAAATATATATATATATATTTAACAAATAAAAAGAGATCGTGATACTGAGTGCCATTTAATGTAATTTGCAAAAAGTACAAGCGGTACTTTTTCATACCTACTTGTTAATTGGCGATTTAGAATCTGAAAAATAAATTAACAAAAAAACGAGATTACCTCGAGTGCCGATTATTTGATGATCTTCGAGGACTCTTTGAATTGGATCTAAAAAAGAATCAAAACAAAAAAAAACATAGTTACCAATTTCATCCATAGATAATTATTTACTTGCACCTGTAAAATTGAGTCGCGAAATTCTAGCTTACCTCTGGTACCGACTGCCACTTTTTCTTCCTTGACTTCGTGATCTCGACCTACAATAGCGTGAGAAAGAAAAAAAAATCTCAAATCTATTTTCAATTTACCAAGTTGTTTAATTATTGATGAGGAGCCTAAATAAATTTTCTAAGATCAAAAAACATATTTATCTCATTCACACTGATCTCTCATTTTATCATCTGAAATTGCCCTTTTGAAAAAATAAAAAAAAATTAACTCTTTCTCACACCTTCAAGCTCTACTTCAAGAACTGTTTTCAGTTCGCAAGCCAAAGAGCATATTATGATTTTGTTGACAACGCTGGGATACTGATTTAGCAAAAAAAAAGAAAAAAAAATTATGAAAATGAGTCAGCATTCTGGAATCAAAAATTGTTCTTTCGTTTCAAAAGAAATGAGCACTTTGTAAATTAAATGCATTTTCTTTCAATAACAATTTTCACCATTTCTATCTACTTTCTTTTATATTATGGGATTACAAAATTGACCCATTTTTTAAAAATTTGATTGCGTTACTTACCTTGGAGAATATCGAGGACCTGGTCTACGTCCTCCGCCACCACGACGACTTCTACCTGAAGACATTTCGACACGTACTCTTGTTCCAAAACAACGACTGTAAATAATAATTACAATTGAAATAAATACAAAAATTACAAGTGAAAATTCTTTTTTTTTTTTTTTTTTTTCTTACGTTCCGTCTAATCCTCTAACTGCATCTTCGGCATCTCTGGGATCGTCAAATTCGACAAAAGCAAATCCTGGTGGATTTCTGGCAACCCACACATTTCTCAATGGACCATATTTACTGAATGCGCTTTCAATTTCGTGCTTACTGGCATTACTTCCCAAATTTCCGACATAAACTTTGCAGGATAAATCCCATTCACGATAACGTGCCATTCTATTTAAAAAAAAAGAAAAACGATTTTAAAAATATTTAACAAAAAGAATTAATGATAGAAAACCTTACAAATTTGTTTCTTAAAAGAAAAAAATAATCTTGACTAGTTTTCTAACCTTAATTTTTTTATAAAAAAATTAACATTTTTTATCAAATTAAAATGTATAATAAAATTAGTCCAAATTTAAAAAAAAATTATTTTTTATTATTTAAAATTTTGTAAATAATAAATGGATAAAAATAATTGTAATATTTTAATAAAAACGATTATACAAAAATAATATTTATATATAGGATTTGATATATAATGAAAAGCATTTATATAAAGTTACTCTCATATTCCATCCATAGAAGATCAATAAGTACAAGGAAAATCAAGATTAAACCCTAATAAGAATATTATTACCACAATTTTATCTAAAAATCAATAAATGTATAATACCTAATACCACAGCTTGTTAGATATTTCGAAATTTTCTATTTCGCGTAACAAAATCAATGCATTTATAAAAATTAAAAACTCAGAGACTTATTAATAATATTTACATTAAAATACACACAAAAGCAGGTATATGCAAATGATAAACAGTCGCCATTTTAAATTATTCATAGAATTTACCTAAAACAGGGATATAATGAAAATGTTAACCTCCTTTAAAAACCAAAAATTACTGAAATTACTCGTATTTTTGAAATAAAGTAACTAGTGTTTAATCACAAATTAAAAAATAAAAAGTAATGATGCTATGAAGAAGGTCGTTTATTTTTTTATTCTCGAATTTCAAGACAAAAAAAAACTGCTATAGAAGTCAATTTAAAGAGAGAAAATAAGACAAGATAAACAATATATTTCCTTACATTATTGGTGAACAAAACTTTCAAGAACTAATGTAATTATTTCACTCTAATTACTTGTAAACGTAATTCGTTTCTCTTCTCCGCACTCCACAAAATCAGTGACAGCAAAATGGCGTCGAAGACAAGCGCCTTGCTGCCGCTAAATCCCTTTTTAGAAAGCTGTCAGATTGTCAATAAAGAAATCGCCATTTTCATTACAACTTTAGTCAATAGAGCAACTAAAATGTTCCCTCTATTCAGTTTTTATATTGAGAAATTGTATATAACCTATAAATTGTGACATTCAATATGTTTTGTTTATTAATTATATGAAGGTTTTATTTTATTATATAAAAATAAAAAACAAAAAATATAATTTACTCTACTATATACTTATTTCTTTTAAATTTTTTAGGTTGGCCTATAATTAAAGAAAGAAATTTTGAAAAGTATCATGTGTTAAAAAAAACTTCAAATATAAAAATAATATTGGAAAATGTATTCTAAGGAAGAAATTGAGAAAAAAAGACTTTCAGCTTTAGCGTTGAGACAGAAAAAAAATATAAATTCAGAAAATGTACCAAAAACACGAGTTGCAATAGTGCCTACTGGGGTAAATAAAAATAATTTCCAAGGAACATCAAGTTCAAACAAATCTAATGTTTATCGGCAAAAATCCACACAAAATCGTTTTGATCCAATAAGTACGAATAAATTTTATCCAAATAAAACAGAATCAATTATGGGAAATTGTATTATGATTAAAAATGATCGATTTGCTGTTGAATTGGCAAAATTTTCCGCATCACTTATTGAATTATTTAAAACAATTCCCACCAAAGCTTATGGTAAAATTATTATTTATTTCTTTATTTAATAATTAAAAATTAATAGTTGTGTATTTTTCTTTTTGTAGACGTGAATTTAGAATTACTTTTTTTAAATATTAAATTATTTCCATTTTCAGATTTACAGAAACGATTATGGAATTTTCATTTAAAAGACTATGAACTTCTATTGGAAAAATTAATGAGACGATCTGATTGTAGAATAACTGGCCTGCCAAAATTTACTAAACAAGTAAATAGAAAATTTTTGAAAAAAGAAAATTATAAAAATTTGTAGTAAACTAAATTCAATTCTTTTTCCAGACTTTTGATAAAGTGAATCAATCGACGGAAATTAAAATAGATTTTTCTTCTATTGATGAAACTTTGAGAGAGTCATTGATGCCTTTTCAACAGGAAGGCATTCGGTAAATTTTCGTTTTATTAATTTTTCAGAAGTGTTAAAAATTTAAATGCTTTTTAAATTTAAAATTTTTTTTGTTTTAGTTTTGGAATAATGAAAAGAGGTCGTTTGATGATAGCAGATGATATGGGACTTGGAAAAACTATTCAAGCTTTAGGAATTGCTGATTATTATAAAGATGCCTGGCCATTATTAATAGTAACACCGTCTTCAGTTAGGTAATTTTTTTTTCTAATTAAATTCAAAACACTTTTATTAAATGCAGCAAATAATAATGTACAAATTTTTTTTTAGCAAAATAAAATAAGTTAGTTGTTTTTTTTTAAATTAAAAAAAAAAATTTTTTTCAGATACCAATGGTCTGAAGCAATTTTTAAATTTTTGCCCTCAGTTCCTACACAGAGAGTGCATCATTTTTGTAAAAATGAAAGGGGTTTTGAATTCGATAAAGTTACCATTGTTTCATATGATTTATTACATCGTTGTAAAGATATTTTTCTTCGACAATCATTTGGTGTTGTCATTTTTGTAAGTATTTTTTTGTTCTTTTTAATTTAATTTAATTTCTTTTTAATAATAAATTAATTTAATTATTTAATTAATTAATTAATGTGTAGGACGAGTCACATTTTCTAAAAAGTAGCAAAACTGCTAGATATAATGCCGCAAAAGAAATAGCATCACAGGCAAATCATGTAATTTTATTGAGTGGAACTCCGGCTTTATCACGACCAATGGAACTTTATTCGCAAATAACATTAATTTCTCCAAATTTCATGGGGTATGAATATAAAATGCATATTAAAAAAGAATTAAAATTGATTTTACAATTTTTGTCATGTTTTTCTTTTTTGAAATTTATTTTTATTTCCAGTGCCACTGAATTTGGAATTCGTTATTGTGCTGGTGTAAAAAGAACCTTTGGTTGGGACTTTACTGGATCATCAAATTTACAGGAGTTGGATTTGTTTTTAAAAGCCTTTTGTTTAATAAGAAGAATCAAAAGTGATGTACTTCAAGAATTACCTTCGAAATTGAGGTAATTTTTTAATTCATTGAATTAAAATAATAAATATAATTAATATTTATTTTTAAAAAATATTAATTTCCTGGAAAACATTCCAGCTAGTAAAAAATTATAAATTATAAATAAAAATATAATTATAATTAATAAAATTGTTAATAATATTAAATTAATTGTCTACGAAAAATAAAATTTTGGAAAAATATTTATTTTTGAAAAATATTTATTTTTCAGACAAGTCGTTGTGCTGGATCCGCATATGATAAAAGTTGGTACTAAAGAAATGGAAGAAATGGCAATGAAATTGCAAAGAAAAGCTCTAACGGGAGCTGAGAAGCACAGCGCACTTTTACAATATTACAGTGAATCAAGTGTTGCAAAACAAAAAGCTATTTGGTGGGTATAATTTTCTCTTTTGCTTTATATTTCTAAATTTTTGAATATTTGTTCATATTAATGATTTTATGTCTAGTAATTATATTACTGATTTACTCGAGAGGGGAGAAAAATTTCTTGTCTTCGCTCATCATCAAGGAGTTTTGGATGCCATTTGTGATGTCATCAGATCAAAGAAAATTGAGTGAGAATATTAATTGATTTTCAAGTTTTAAAAAGCAATTTTATAATAGTAAAATATTTTTATTTCTCTTCTTCAGTTACATTCGAATTGATGGCAAAACAAATCCTGAACAAAGGAAATATTTCGTTGATAAATTTCAAGATGAACGAGAAGTTTTAGTTGCCGTTTTATCAATAACAGCAGCAAATGCTGGAATTACATTGACAGCTGCTCAACTTGTTGTTTTTGCTGAATTATCCTGGAATCCTGGAGTAAGTACTAGAAATTTTTTTAAAAAATTATTTCTAAATAAAAATACATAATTTTTTATTGTAAATAATAAATAAACAGTTGCTTCCTTATGGAGGAATTTATTATAAATAAATAGATTAGATTAAAAAAGCAATTTTAAATTTTAGATTTTGTGTCAAGCTGAAGACAGAGTTCATCGAATAGGACAAGATCGTGGTGTTGTTATTCAATATTTAATAGGTAAAAATACAGTCGATGATTATTTATGGCCAAAAATTCAACATAAACTTGAAGTTTTAAGTAAAGTTGGTTTAGATCAAGAATTTACAGTTAAAGATGATAATGTATCAATACAAGTGGCAATTGATAGTGATCAAAAGCAAATTGATGAATTTATTAATGATGATTCATCTTTAAATTCAAATAGAATGTTAAAAACAAAACCATTTAATTTACAATCAACATCATCATCATCACCATCAAGTGATAAAAAAAATCAAACCCGCCTCGATTCTTTTCTATTGCAAAAAGATAATAATTTTTCATCGCAAGAAAGGAAAATTAATGAAAATTGTAATTCCTTGGCTAAATTATTGGATGATGATGATGATTTTTGTGATATAGATTTAAATGAATTTACATAGTTAATTTGTTAAAAATTTAAAAATGAATGCCTATTTTTTTATTTATAGAAAAAAAAAGTTGAAGTCGATTAATGACTGAGGGAATAAATATATAAATTTCTAGAAAAATTTTTTTTTCAATTTTCTACTATTAAACAGATAAAATATTTAATTTCATAAATTTTTTTTATAATTATTTGCTTTTTACCCCCTTAGAAGTAATTTTTATTATTATAATGAAGAATTTGAATTTCCCTCTTATTTTAAGACCACGTGGTCCTCAAATTTGACTTTAATTTCATAAATGTAAAAAAAGTAATATATTTATTCGTCTAAAATTAATAGTATTTAATATAATATCGTAAAATTTAAGGTTGTTTTATTAATATTATTTATTTAATTATGTAGAATTTTAATAATAAAATTCAATTTTTAATTTCTTAATTGACTAACGTAGTAAACCTAACCTACAAATCGCGCACATGTTCATGACAGGTTTTGTGTCGCGGAGGAGACGAGTGTTTTAAAAAATTTAATAAAACTATGCATTGTATTAAAAGTGCATAATTAATTATTATTACATACAATCATGCAGGTTTCTAATCAAAATAATGTGAAAATTTACAATCTCAGTGCCGGAAGATCACTTCCAGAGGTAAGTTTTCTTTTTAAGGTTATGTTTTCGTTTTGTGATTTTTTGTTATTAAACAATTTCTATCATGTTATAAATATTATTAAGTAAATTTTACTAATATTATGACTTTAAATTAACATAAAATTAAATTACAGTGGTTGTCGGATAGGAAAAAAAGGAGTTTAGCTAAAAAACATGTTGGTAAGTTGGTCTGTCAAAATAAAAAAAAAAAAAGAATGCTGCGCAAATATTTAATTCTCTGAATTAATAAAATATTTATTATTGTTGTTATAAGTTCTGTTATCCGTGTTATAATTTTAACTAATTATATTTTTATAGATATTCGAAGGAGAATTGAATTGATTCAAGATTTTGATATGCCTGTAGTTAGTACAAGTGTTAGAACTTCAAATGATGGTCAATATGTTTTTGCCACTGGAACTTATAAACCAAGAGTAAAATGCTTTGATGTTAATAATTTATCGCTTAAATTTGAAAGATGTTTTGATGCTGAAGTAGTTACATTCGAAATTTTGTCTGATGATTACAGTAAAGTAGGTATATTTTTAAATTTTCATTTACAAATATAAAAATTTTGTTTCTCAATAATTTTTATAGAATTTTTCTTAATTATAAAATTGTATAATTCTTTGTTTTAAGCTCGTATTTCTACAAGACGATAGAAATATCGAAATTCATTCAGCTGCTGGAAAATATTTTCGATTAAGAGTTCCACGTTTTGGTCGTGATATGAAATATCATTATCCATCGTGTGATTTATTTGTCGTTGGTGATAGGTAATTAAAAATTAATTTATCTATTTTCTTTTTCTTTCAAATCAAAATTTTCTGATAAATAAATTTTGTTAGCAATGAAATCTATCGATTAAATCTCGAGAGAGGACAATTTTTACAATCCTATTCATCAGAGGCATCATCAATAAATAAATGTGTTATTAATCCAGTTCATTATTTGCTATTCACTGGTACTGAGGAGGGAAAAGTCGACGCATGGGATCCAAGAACAAGAAATAAAACTGGAACATTAGATTGTGGATTTTATTGTGTCTCTCAGGATACTTCGTTAGTATTTTTTATATAACAATGAATATTTTTACAATTTAAAATAATTATATAAAATTAAAAAATATTGGTATACAGATTAAAATCCGTGCCATCAGTGACGGCATTAAATTGTCAAGGTGGTTTAACAATAGCCGTTGGTACCGCGACTGGTCAAATTTTACTTTATGATATAAGATCAAATAAACCATTTTCAACAAAGGATCATAATTATGGTTTACCTATTAAAAATATCGAATTCCATAAGAATATGGACCTTGTTTATTCAATGGATAGTTCCATTGTTAGGATATGGGAAAAAAATAACGTAAGTAATTGAAACAATATTTTCTTTTTTCTTATTTCAATTAATTATTTTCTTTTTTTAGGGTAATTTATTAACAGCCGTAGAGGCGAATTCTTATTTTAATGATCTTTGCATTGTTCCTAATACGGGAATGTTTTTTATTGCAAATGAAGATGCAAAAATACAAACTTATTATATTCCAAGTTTGGGACCTGCGCCAAAATGGTGTGGATTTCTTGATAATCTCACTGAAGAATTGGAGGAAGATACACAAGAAATTGTTTACGATGATTATAAATTTATTACTGAAAAAGAACTCGATGAATTGGGACTTTCACATCTTAAGGGTAGTAATTTATTGCGTGCTTATATGCATGGTTTCTATATGCATACGAGTTTATATAAAAAGGCACGCGATTTATTGCAACCATTTGATTTGGAGGAGCATAAAAGGAAGAAAATTAAGCAAAAAATTGCTGAGGAACGCGCCAGTAAAATTCATGTATGTTTCTTTTTTATTCTGTTAGAATTATTTCAATTTAAAAAAATTAAAACATTTTCTTTTAATTAAAATAATTATTCGAAATTATTATTTGAATAGTTGGAAAAAACTCTACCAGCTGTTAATAAGGATCTTGCTTTGAAATATATGGATATGGATAAGACAAAGAAGAAGAAACCAGTGGAGAATATAATGAAGGATGATCGTTTCAAGGAATTATTTACAAATCCCGATTTCCAAATTGATACAAATGCAGAAGAATATATTTTGTTAAATCCTGTCATTTCACATGCGGAAAAACGTAAACGTAAAAAGAATGAGGAAGAAGAAAAAATGAAAGAAGCTGCGATTCAAGAGGAAGAAGAAGCAGATGGTTAGTAAAATTTGAAAAGAAATTTCAATAATATTAAATATATAAATAAATATATATTTTTTATAAATTTTAATTAATCTATTTTTTTCGTGATGAAGATAAAACGAGTGCCGATGAAGATTTTGAGGAAAGCAGTTCTGACGATGAAAAAGTTTGGTCGAAAGAAGTGCAGAAAAAATATAGAATGTTAAAGAGAAAGAGGCAGAGAGAAGAAAAGAATAAGGAGGAAAATTCAGACGAAGAGCAAGAAGAAAAGGATTCGAAAAAATCGAAATTATTTGAAATTAAGGAAACTGTTCAATTTAACGGTTCTAGGCTACAAATTCGTAAAACTAACAAGTAAATACAAAATTTTACATTTAAAATTTATATAAAATAATTATTAACATTTTCTTAATATTAGTATTAACATTAATTCTTAATACCAAAAAAAAATTATTTTATAAATCGATATTTTCATTTTTAGATCAAGTCTTGGAAGAAGATTACAAGAGGAAGATAGTAATTCAAAAGTCACCGGATTTGGTGGAAATAGACAAATGTCATTCACTATCGATAAGGTAAAATTATCTCATTTTTTTTTCTTAATAAAATAATTCGAAACTCGTATTTCTTCGAAAACATTTCACGAAAAGTAATTTGAAAAAAAAAATTGCCGAAAATTTAGGACTAAATTCTCTTCAAATTTTTAACTTCATTAATTATTATTTACAAAATTTGTTTTTCCCTGCTATAAATAAAAGTCAATTGAAAAAAAAACAAACAAAAAAAATTATTTAGAATCAAGACTCAATTGAAAATATTGTCTCTTAATTGGCCATAAATTAATTCTCTTCGATATATTATTATTAATTCGCAAATAAAGATTGCTACAATGTATTATTATTTTCAGCGTAAGCAACAGAAAAGGACAAACGATCGTCAAACAATTAACAGAAGAGAATACAAAGGTCTATTGCGGCCAGCTCATAATATAGGGAAACGAAAATTTAAATAATAGTTTTTACATTCATAAAAATAAGAATGTAAATTGTAAATAAAAAAGTTTTCTTTTATTTTAATTAAAAAATTTATATTATTATTTTCACCCAAAAAAATATAATTGAATGAATTTATTGTACTTGTCAAAGTATTTGGATTCGTCAGTTTATCAAAAAGAAGAGGTGAAAAGTCATCTTGTGTTAGTGATATGTCAATAGAAGCGACAGTATTGGTGAATAATTCATAGTGTGTGTATATACATATTTATTAAAAGTGAAAGTTTCTTCTTTTTAAAAAGTGTTTCTAAAAGGATCATGTTTTATAATAAACAAAAATGTCTTTGGTAAGTTTATACTGATTATTATTTAAAAAAAATGTTTTTAGTTTTCTATTTTTCCAATTGATAATAACAATTAATAATTCTAATTGTCCTTTAGAGATTAATTTGTTTCTTTTTTTTTTTAATTGTTTCATTATTTCTAACGTTTGTGTGTTGATGTAAGGCGCTTATCATCACTCAAACTAGGGTTATTAAATTACAAGCATTCTCTCTCACTTTCAATTAAAAATATTCTCGATATTCTTCAATGTTTTTGTAACGAAGAACTAGAGGGGAAACATTGAAAATGGGATATAAGACAATTGTTAAAATATGGCGAAAAATAGTAAAGTATCTCTCTATTCATTTAAAAAAAAGTATTTTTTTAATTTGTGTTTACTTGTATTTTTATAGATAAATACGGAAAATAATAATGGCTCATCAAATGAAAAAGAATCAACATCGTCTGATGAAAATTGTCAAGATCGATTGCGAACATCGACACCTTCTTTGCTATCAGATTTACAGCTTCGTAGTACCGAGGTAAATTTTTTTTTTTATTTCAAAAATTAATTAGTTTTTGTTATTCTTAAAATTTTAATGTTCCCAAAGATAATTTTAGTTTTTAATAAATTGAAAATATTTCGTAATTTTCCCAAAAAAATTAATAATTTCAGATTGGAGAAATAGCAGAAATGCCAGATTATGAAAATTTAAATACATCAGCTGTTTTACATTATTGTAAGCACAAAATTTTGAGACCCTATTTACGATTGTTGGGAGTTATGGGATTAAGACCAACAAGTAGCGATGATTCTGAACATAGTTCGTGTTATTGTATATTGGTGAATTTTCACACAGTGCAGGTCACTATTTTCATGTGCATTGGATACATTTTACAGTTTATGGCATGTTTCAGGTTGGAAAAAAAATTATTATTTCTAATAAAATTCTTTAAAATTGAAAATTTTAATTAACAATTTTAATTAACAATTTTAATTAATAATTTTAATTAACAATTTTAATTAATGTCTCTAATTATTATATATTTTTTTTTGAAAGGAGAGATCGTGGGTTCTGTTACAAAGCGAAGCCACCTATTGAAATAATCAAATCGGAATTAAATCCATCTCGAATCCCTATGGAGAATGATTTATGTTATGGAAATGCTGCATTTAATTATGCGATACCAAGTACTTTGCATTTATTAGGATATTTATATACAGTTTATTTGTTTCGAATAAAGGAAAATGAACAATTGCAAAATTTAATGGAAAGAGCATTTCTTCTATCATCAACGCCAGTGAATCGTGGCAATCAAAAAAGACTTGTTAGAATTTTATGGCTTTTCATTGGTCTCAGTGGAGTATGGATGCTTATGGCACTATCAACTGTTACATTTATGATGGTAACACAAAATATTCGCTTTCAATGGGTTGAAGAAAGGTAATACATTTTTTTTTTTCTAAAAAATTCTAAATTAATTATCCTTTTTGGATAAAATTTATTTTCATTTTCAGCCCTCAAAAAGTGAAAGAATTATTGAAAATTATTTTGGTAATTTGTACTTTATGGCACGATATGGTACAGGGTACAATTATTACCAGTTATTGTCTACAAGGACAACTTTTGATATCGCATTTAACATTTCTTCGTGCGAAATTACTTCAACATTCAATACCGCCAATCGAATGGATGAAGGTACTTTTAAAATTTATTTTTCTTAAAAAATTTTTATCTATAAACAAATAAAATATAAAAATATTTTTTTCAGGAAATTAGCGAATTTAAAACGCTTCTAAAATACTTTAATGATGAACTTGGTCCGGCAGTATGCATTTATACTGTAATTAATATATCTTGGGCATTCGCGGGAATTGTCTGGTTATTTAAAGTCGATAGTATTAATATTCACGATAGTCCTGCCACTTGCATTGCAATATTTAATGTAATACTTTGGATATCATTATCAATCGTTCCATTTGTCCAGGTAATAAAATTATTTTTTTTTTTTATTTATATTTTCGAAAAGGAATTTTTTTGTTTTTTAATTTCAGGCTGCACGTTTAACAACAACATGTTCAATGATACAAAACATTGGTCACGAGGTTCGAATTCGTCCTTACGTTTATCAAGGAACATCTGGACAAGATTTAGATACTATTTTATTATATACTTCATCATTAAAAATTTGTGCAAGACTATATCGTGTTCCCATAACTGGAAGATATTTGTGTATGATTTTGACAATCGCAGGAGTTTCTGTACTTACACTTGGACAGTGTAACGCATTTTCATAATCACTTAAAATGATTATATTAACGTCTTTTTATTTTGCACATTATTTCGTAAATGTGTAAATATTTATCTATAATGCATTTATTATGCATGCACACTGTACATAAATTTAATTAGATTAAAATTCACCGATATGTATAAGAAGTTATAAGTATCTGTTGCTGCCAAAAATTATTATATTTAATGAAATTAAATAATTACAACAAAATTTATTTATTAATCAAAAAACAATTTTAAATCTTTACTACCTTACTGAATGACAATAAAACAGTAAAATAAAAATATAAAAAATTACGGACATAGTAATTTAACTTAACGATTGATGGTAAAACAGAAAAATGATAATATAAAAATTACTGACTTAGAAATCTACCTTACCGACTGACGGTAAAACAGTTTTTCCCCGAAAAACAAAGATATAAAAATTACCGACACAGAAATCTACCTTACCGACTGATGGTAAATTTTCCCGGGACTCCGTCGAAAATTTTCAAAACTGTTTTACCATCAGTCGGTAAGGTAGATTTGTGTGTCGGTAATTTATATATTTTCATTTTCAAAAAACTGTTTTACCATCAGTCGGTAAGGTAGATCCCTGTGTCGGTAATTTTTTATATTTTCATTTTTCTGTTATTTTCGACTTATGATAAACTGTTCCCTACATTATAAGCAATCGATAATAACTTTAAAATTCAATATCCTTTCTTGTTGACTGTTAATAAGGTGATTGGTAACTTAAATATACACTTACCGTTTTTAGATTAGTTTTTGGTCCTCAAAATCTTGAAAAAAATATATTTATTTATATTTATGAGGTTTAAAAGTAATATAAACTTATTTATTCTTTTCGAAATTTTATTTTTTAGAGTTTGCGATTGTTAAAAATAATTTCTTAAAATGTTTAAATAATTACATAAATCATTTCTAGACTAAAACAACAAATAATTTGAGATTACGTGGTTTATCTCTTAATAAGAACATTAATTAATGCAGTATAATATGATATTGATTTTCTGAAATACTTTTTCAGAATTAATTTTCAATATTAAAGTATATTTAAAACAACAGGAAGCACTTAAGTTTTTTTTTAAATTTTTGTGATACATTTTATGGTGCGAAGTATCACTGAGATAGAAAAATGCTATTAAATCTATGGCAAGCATATTTAATTTCTTTACGATTAATGGCAATGCAGATTCTTATATTATGAGTTTAAAGTCCGATTTATTAGCCGATGGTAATGTAGGTTTCTATACTGACAATAGTCGGTATAATACCTTAAAAATTTGATTTTCTTTTTTACCGATTTCTGTAGATTGAATAGCATTATTTTCAATGTAAATTGGATATTCTTCTAACCAAATTAAAATTTTAATCTCAACCTCCCTTCTATATCTTATAAATATTTTTTAGTTCATTTCGATAAATATTTTTTTTCTAAATTGTATAATTATTTTACTGATAGATTTTAACATTATTTTTATATACATTTTTGAATTTACATTGTATTTTTTTTAATTATTGCATGGAATTATGTTTGAATGTATAGAAGTGGCAATCTTTAAAATCTTTATTTTTTTTATATAAACGTAATCCTATATATGAGTATTGTTTGATAAAACCTACAAGATCAATTGATTATTTTTGACTTCTACGGTAACAATTGTATAAAATTTTTGCGAATTTCTATCTCAATTGCAACATTTATTATAGATAATTTTTTTTAACCAAGACACAAATAACAGTTTTGAAAAATAATATTTGCTATTGAAATCTTTTTTTGTGATTAAAAACAAAAAAATTCGTTTTATTTGTGTGAAAATCTTATTACAATTTAAGTTTTATCACATCTTATTTTTCATGAATATTTTTTTTTTGATACGTAATTCGTATATATTTATATTTTTTTAACAATTAAATTAGGACTAGAATATTATTAACTTTAAATATACAACTTTCTTCGATTATGAAAATTTCATTTCTCACGCACCCTTTTTTTAAAAAAAGTGTTTTTTTTCTCATTTATACACTCACATATATTCCATTACTACACATTATTTTCTTTTTAAATAAACTATATGCTAAAAATTAAAATGCAACAATTATATAAATATGTATATGAAAAATAATATTATAATTTATTATTAGTAATTAGTATATTAATATTAACGTGACGTATATACTTTTTATAATTCTCAAAAATTTGAGAGTATTGATTATAATTGTCGTAAATTTGACAATTTACTCTAACATTCATATATAAATAATTTACATAGTTTTTCAAATTTTACAAATTCAATTTAATGAAACTTTGTAATTAAAAACTAGTAAAAAATTGTTCCCTTACAATTTTAATTATTTTTTTTTGGTTTATTAATTCAATTTTACTATAGTTAAAAAGTTGGGTCCCAAAGTCTTTTGAGATACCAAACATATTTTTTAAAAACTCTTGCAAGATAAAAAAAAAATCTTCTAATTGTGCGGGATTTATAAGCTGTTAAAAATTTATCCTGTTATATAGGGGAGAGTCAGTACGGTTAGGTTACGTTTCGACTTGTGGCCATAATTTCCGTTCTAAACCGAATTTCGGATTTTCTCACGTATGGTTGGAAAGCTCTTATTAAGTGCAACATTTTCTCTGAACAACAGAAAATGATTGGACCAAAAGTGTAAAAGTTATAGTCATTTCAAAAAAATAAATTTTTTCGTTACGGTCGGATTAGGGCTTCACGGTTGGGCCACCGCACAAAATCAGTGTTATGTTATGATAAATTATTAAAAGCGTCTCAAGAAAGGGGGAGAGAGGGGGGTCCCAAAAATCTCACAAAAGGGGAGGGGGTGCAAATTTCAAAAAAAATCACATTTAAATTAATGAACGCCCCTAAAATGTTTTCAGAACACGAAACGTTTATAATGCGTTATGGTAAATGACGTTTTTGACACATTTCTACGTCGAAAAATGAATTTATGATGTCAGGATGTATCATAATTGCAAAATTTTAAGTGGCCCAACCAACACTATATTTATTGGCCCAACTGTCACTATTACGTCGTTTTACTTTTTTATTACTCAAAATTTCAAACAACACTCTAACGAACAAACTTAGACAACTTACTTTATTGTTTGCATCTTTTTCTTTTGTTCAATTAACTTTTTCATACACCACAAAAAAGTTTTCCTTTTAATCTTTAGCGCACTTTTACAAAACACGTGTGTACAAATTGCGCATTTCACTGAGACTTGATAAAAGTGACGCGAAAAGTTTATTACCATCGCTTATAAGTATTTGCATGCAAAGGTAGATGGCCCTAATGTGAAAGGGCTTTAAACGCAGTACTGACCCAACAGGTAAAGATGGTCTGACCGTACTGACTTTCCCCTCTAATTTAAATATTTTTATATGCATTTGATGATTATAAAAAATAATTTCTAAAAACAGAAATTAAACTAAAAATGTTATTTTACTCAGAGATAATTATTGAAAAAACTATGTTAACTATTATTTTTTTAAATTATTATTTTTCAAGTACATATGTGTTTTATGGATTATCACAGTATTGTGGAACAATTCATAAAAATTTGTGAACTTTTTTTTCTCTTCAAAAAAAGAATAAAAATTATCAGATACTTGTTTGACGAAAATATTTTGTTTATAACATTTTTTTTTAAATTATAATAATGCCTCAAAATTTGTTTAATATTTTTTTAAAGCAAATGGAAGAAAGTAGAAAAAATATATGTTCATTTATAAAATACGATTCATAAACAAATATAAAGAAAAATAATTAGTTATTTCTCTTTACATTTTTTTTTATTAATATAATTAAACGATATTTTTTTAAATCAAATAAAAGTGCTTACCGCTTTTAAGATTGAAATTCGGGCAGTATTTTTTGTTCACCAAGTCCAAATTACATTTGGACAATATTTAATTTTAGTTTTTTTTTTTGTTTAATCATCGCGTGAATTTTGAGTTTAAAAAACGATTTTTTTTCACAAAATGAGTGTGATTATCGATTGATATATTGGTTGTAGATTTTTTTTCGCTCTCTATATGTATATGTATAATTTTACACACTAGTCGTAATTTGTTCGATGACGGTCACGTCCCGATGACGTCTCGGACGTCGTAAACTATTATTGTGATTCTCAAGACCCTCGGGAACGCTTTTACTTGGCCTGAGATTTGTGTGACATTGAGCATGACAATAACGTTCAGGGTTCATTGCACGTTGTGGATAATGTTCTCGATAATTATGCTCAACGTCCAGAGGGACATAAAGAGATTGAGATTTGGGTAATCTTGGCCTAGGCGGAGGTGGACATGCACATGGTGGTGGCATTCCGCTAACATTTGGTATTCTAGGACCAACAACAAGAGGCGATGTCGGTTGTCTTCCCCATCCGACTAGGAACAAAAGTGCAGCACCACACAAGGAACTCAATGTGCACGCATAATATCCAACTCGTGGATTATTCGCGTTCATATAACCTGAAAAAAAATTTTAAAAAATACATTAATTGTTTTAAGAAAACACGTTTCGATGAAGGAAACTGCTTTTTCAACAGTAGGTAAAGGAGAAAATACGAATTTAACCATTAACTGACTGCTGAAAATGAAGGAATCTATTTTAACAATAGTTGGTACAGCAGTGGGCATCAATTTATCGACTTATCGATTATTGGAAATGTAGGGCCCCAATTTACCAACAGTCGACAAAGCAGAAAATTCGAATTTATCGATTTACCGACTGTTGGAAATGTAGGGATCTACCTTACGAATGGTAGGTAAAGCAGAGGACAAAATTTTAACCAATATTCCAACTGTTTATCGTGTATTAATTATATAACATTATTTTTTTCCGCAAATTTTGAGTTATTATTACAAAACCTATGTGATATTTTCATACAATTTCTATTTTAGTAATTTTGAAGGAATTTAAATTCACTAATGAAAATATTGAAACAGTTTCTCGTCAAAATTAATAGGTTTCAAATGAAATTAAGCAAGTACGTTTATTCCACAAGAATTGCTTTTAAATGCTTTAATAATTATATATATGGAGAATATTCTCTCTCAATACATAGAGATGTACATTTAATTACAATTCTACTAGCTATTATTTGATCCGCTTCCTAAATTATCTTAGTGATTCTACAACATGTGCAATATAATACCCTCTTTGGTTCTCTAAAGCCTCTTTGACGTTATACTAGAATTTGCACGTAAATTTTCATGGGTGGGGGGGGGACCTTATGAGTTTTCATCTAGTTGCTGCTAAAGTGAAAACTTTATTTCACCAAAATTACACGCGTCGTAATTTATTACTTCATAACGAATAAGATTTTATGCAAAAAAAAAGAAAAAAAATGGGATAAATTTATTTTTTCTGATCCAAATTAAAATATTATAAAATGTTGAAAATTTTATATTTGAAGGATATATTTACCAGTTAGAGGAACTCCGAGTAAAATTGGCAAAGCTTCCGCAGCCTGTACAAGAGCCCAAGATCTTGCGAATTGACTGGACCGTAATCTCTCGAGGGCTAACATTTTTAAAGAATATAATGCACCACCAAGTGATGCACCATAGAGACCACATGCCAGTACCATTCCATGATAGCCTTGCACACTACCAAGTGCAACTTGAGCTATTGCTGAAAAATTAAAAAAAAAGTATAATTAGTAAAAAACGAGATAATGTAATTTATAAGCAAAACTGTATCTATTGAAAAAAAAATTAAACTACATTTTTTGGTTAATTTAATTAAACTGTTTTTTTTCTTTAGTAACACAACAGTGAAATAGTATAATATAAACATATAATATATTAAATACACAAAAGTTAGAATTCGAAAAGTTTGTTTAGAGAAAGTTTAAATTCGCTTAATTAATTATATTGATAATAATGCATTTTGGGGGCGTATATTTTGTTTATTTTTCTACATCTTTTTCTCACCAGTTAATTACGCTTTTGAAGAATGTTTGAACTTTCGACAGTGCACGCGCGAAATTGCATTTTCTCATATATATGGTATACACTTCTATCCAGAATTTCCAGTCTAGTTTTCCCTTGTATTTTCCGCTTGTAGAATACATAATACATTAAGGAATGTTGAGAAGAGACGCGCATAATATATTCACAAATTAACGAGACTTTATATATATATATATTTATAATACAGAACTTTATCTTTTCCGTGAAACTTTCAGTCTAAAAATGTTTTATTTATAAGACATCTGTCTCACCACACATCGTACATTGACAAAGTCAGCTCATTTTACGATTTTCAAAAAAAAAATTTCAAATAAAAAATAAAAATATTCTTTTTTCCAAAAAAAAAAAAAAAATAGAAAGAATTATTTTCTAGAATTATTTCTATTAATATTTCCATGTAAATAACTTCCCGTTAACTTCCCTGGATCTCTCTACATATCACCCCCTTTTTTCTATTATTCATTCACATCTTGGCAGTTATCATTATTTACATAACCGACTGATGGTAAAACAGGAAAAAAATGAAAAAATTACCGACGTAGAAACCTACCTTATCGACTGCTACCAAAACCTGACAATGAAGATACAAAAAATTTTCCCAGTGTAGGAATCTTCCTTACCATCAGTCGGTAAGGTAGATTCCTAGGTCGGTAATTTTTTTTATATCTTTATTTTCCTTAGATAGATAGTTTTTTTTATACATACGATTGATTTGTTATAAAAGCATGCATCAGTGCAAGAAATAATAATTATTTTTGTGATTTTTTGAAAATTGTATTTCAACGTAGAGTTTTTTTTCTCATAAAATTCTCATGGGTATCGTTTTACAATAATTATTGAAAGTTTTTTGATCGTAAAGAGGCATAGATTTTTACACTATAGCTGACAATTTCCCCAAGGACTGTAAGATCTCTATACACGCAGGTATGCTTCTTTTTTTCACAATTTTTTTTCTACTTTTTTTCTAACCATCCCTTCCTCAATTTACCTATAGTAAAAACGAGTAGAAGTCACATTTTTCTCGCTACCCTGGAGATTTCAATCTAATAGTATAAAACTAGTAGTGGACGTTCTCGCATTGTTTTTGGAAAAAAAAGTTCCCTGAAACTATATTAGAGTGAGAATATATTTTATAAATGTTATAAAACACGCGTTTTATAATTTAATTGAAAATAATTATTTGAAAATGGGGAAAATTTAAGGTTTTATCATTTTTAAGAAATATTCAATGTTTTTAATTGAAAATATAGTCGATTTGATTTCTAATTTTGTACATCAATGCGCGGATAATTCGAATATTGAAGGTTTCATATTTTTTATAGCATTAAAGTAACTTTTACGGAAAGTGAGTAATTTACTGGGCGACATTGGTCGCAACGAGAGAAGGTGTTCAAGTATACCTTAGGGCAGTGTCCCCATAAATTTCAGTGGCACACACGAGTACACGAAATACGAGCTGTTGACGTTGCTTTCCTCAGTTTTATATATATAAAGTTAAAGGTCACTGAAATGCGTTTCATCTTTGTCTAAGTATAAATTTTTTTTTTGTTTATGAAAGTGTCAAAAACAAATATTACAAGAATTATAATTTTTTAGTTACATGTTAACAAATAAAAAAGAAATTTAATAATTTAAATTATATATTACTATATAAATATTAAAAAATTATTTATAAAATAAAATTTTTTTTTTCAAATACCGCACAAAGGATTTAATGATACTTTGAGAAGGAAGAGAATTACGTAAAAAGCCCTTTCATGGTATTTAATTATTTAAGAAATCAATTTATTATGAACAACGTGATTATATATAAGTAGCTAAGCGGATTTGTGTTTTGTGCAAAACGAAACACGTGATTTTATTATTCTTTATAGATGTACATGTACATTCATTTATAAGGTACTTGAATTAAAAAATATATTTATCTCCAGAACTGCGTAGTATTAATTTATGTTTTCAATTAAAAATTTTTAATGTTCTAAACATTTTATAATACAAAATTTGAAAATTTTTCTTATTAATTATAAAATTTTTTAAAATCAAGTACAAGAGTAAAAGCATATAATTTGAAAATTTTTTCTGTTGACTTTCAAAAAGATTTCCCTTTAGAATTTCTTTTTCTTTCATATATCTAGAATTTTATTTTCATGAAAAATTAATTCCTCCACATCTGCATATATATATGAAAATTAATTAAAATGGCCTATATATATATCGAAATTCCCATAAAGTGAATATATTTTTTTTTGCCACTTTAGAAAAACAATTTTTAAAACCAACACAAATTTTCTCTCTTAACCTTATGTATATATTGAAAGTAACTGGAGCACTTAAAAAAATTGTAAAATAATTCAAGTACCTCGTTTAACATAAAGGTGAAAAAAAAGATATATAACGATCATTATCACATTATCAGTTAACTAAATTTTTACAATTTTTTTTCCAAGAGAGTTTGTTAAAAATAAAATAATAATAATATCGATAAAAAAAAGTTCTGAATAAAAGAACAGCATTTATGATTTTTGATCTTGAATTTTTAAACTAAGACAACTTTATTGAGTGTATAGAAAAAGTCTTTTCTTATATGACTTTCTCACCCTTTTTGATGTTACACACGCTCTTCGAGTGTTACTTGTACATGCTCGTCTTTATATTTTACTTTAAACCCCCGTCGGCACTCTCTCTCTCTCTTGGTCGACGCACAAAGTATTTTCATTCTCTTTTCTTTTTACCCGCGTATATATAGCATGTGAATATTATACTCAGCCAGTATATATAGTGCACCTGTCTAAATCGTTAATGGCCCTCTCTCTCTTTCTCTCTCTTATGGGTTAAAAAAAAGAAAGTAACAGACGCAAACAGGATGTCTAGTAGTAAAATTATTTTTAAATTCCCGATATTTTCCCGGAAAATTTTAAACTAAAAAGTGTATAGTTTTATTAAAATTTAATTCTTACCGCCTGAAGATAATATAGATTTCAATATTATCAACAATCGGCAAAAAAGAGTGCCTATTCTTAACATTAACGGTAAAGTAGATTTCTAAATTATCATTAATTAAATCGCAAATTTTGTATTTCCTTCTTATTAATTGAGCGCAGGGTTATATTTCTATATTACCAACTGCTGGTAAAGTATACGTTTCTATTTCTTTAATCAGTTAACATAATTTTATTCGGCATATAAATCAAAACTTGATAATAATTTATATGTGGTTGAGAAATTGCAATTTCGAATAACTAGAAATTACGCACTTGGAATGAATAATAAACGGAGAAATCGGAGGCGCTAAAGGGGTGAGATCTTCATTTGTTCGTTGACAATAGAAAAGCGTAGAGAAATTCAACAGTGAAGAAAATTGGTTTTACACACAAAGCTCTATGTGAATGTGCGAACAGTAAATCTTTTGTTGAAAATGAACAAGAAGAAATGCATGTATGTGCCTTGTATCAAGCGTTTCGCACAAGGGATTTATACCCCAATGAATTTTAACGAGAGGACAATAAACATGCGTGCAATTGATGTTTTGATGCAAATAAAAAAAAAAAATAAACAGTGTATGACGAATTGTCATTTAATCAAATTTATATTTTGCTAAATTGATATTACTACTTGAAAAATATTGCGCAGAAAAAATCAAGTAATTAAAAATTACCTTCATCGTTAATTGAGTTAAACTATTTAAATAAAAAAAAAATTTTTTTGCTTATAATTCACTTTTAAAAATATTTTCTTACTTATACTACTTGTTAAACAAAATTATACCAATTAAAACTTACATTGGCTGATTGTATCTTGCTTTATACTACTTGAAATACATTTTGGAGAAAATTCTAATTTAAAGTTTATTTTAGCTTATCGTTCATTGACTTGTGCTACTTAAAGTATCAATATTTAAACTATCGACTGATGGTACAAAAGGAAAAGGAAGATATAAAAATTACCGACATAGGAATCTATCTTACCGACGGATGGTAAAAAATTCTTCGAATTTCCTCAAAAATTTTCATAACTGTTTTACCATCAGTCGGCAAGGTAGATTCCTATGTCGGTAATTTTTTTTTATATTTTTAATTTTGTTTTACCATCAGTCTGTAAGGTAGGTTTCTACATCGGTAAATTATCTATGTAAATTATCTATCTTTATTCTAGTGTTTAAAAAAAATTGAAATTTTTTATTTTCGAAAAAGATTTTTGTTTCTTTATTTTAAGAAAATTTTATATTAAATTAAATAAATATAAACTTACCAACGCCAAGAAGTGCTACTTGGCAAAGATATTGTCGGGATACCAGGCATTGAGCAGATGGTCTGGCTGTAACGACTCCCCATGCAGCACAACCCAATGCGGCTGCCAAGCCCAAACAAGTTTGCAACAGAACCAAGGCACTAGCTTCCAACCCTTCTTGGTATCCTTGTAATGCCTGAAAAAGACAATCTAATCAATATTCAAATGCAAATTATTATCTTCCGTCTCAGTGTTGTATCATTATTTCTGTTATTGATTTCATATTTTTTTTACAATTCTTTTTTTTTAATTTTATTTAATAAATACGTTCTTTATTGGAAAATCCACTTTTGAGGATTCTGTTCACCAAGTAATCGCGAAGAAAATCTTATTGTTTTACTTATTTCCGTCGATGAAAATAATGTCCGGATTTTTTGGAAAATTTTTCGATATTTTCAATTTAAGAAATTATTCTTTCATGATACCTCTAAATTTTTATCCCGAAAGTAAATATCGTACTTAAAATTTTAAAAAAATTTTTTTTATTCAGCCAATATACATATATATATATATATATATATATATATATATATATAAAATTTAAAACGCGAAATTTAAAATATAATTATTTTTTTAACGATAAAAATTCTCACCCACACAATAAAGATCACGTTGCTTGTGAATTGCCAAAAGTTGTTCAACAAGTTACAAAGTTCTAATTACATACTAGCAAATGGTGCTGAAATGAGTTTTATAATTAAGAAGTACCCTAGAAAAAAATTTTTTTTTTCAAATTATACAGAGAAAATAATTGCATTTCTAGGGGGAAAAAAATTTGTTAATATTATTTATAAGTTAAATTTATATTTTATTATATTACTTCGTTTAAAAAAAAACAAAATATATAGAAAAACGATGAACGTGTAATTTTGTTGAAAATTCAGAATTCAATGGAACGTGTGTGAGAGAAAAATAGGGTTATTATATTGAACTTCATGGTAAATTGCGCGCCTTTATCCTAAGGAAAGTGCAGTCTAAGTTGGCTCGTTTTCATAAAAAATAGAGACCTTGTTATTTATTTCATTGGCTCGTTTGGTTTCAGTGTCCACGATTTTTTTATGAATGCCATTTCCACCAGACTAAGAGTAACCTTTCTTTTTTTTTATTGTTATTTATTTAAACTACTAATCAAGGAAATGTCTTAATTGAAATTCTATTTTAACTACTTTTAAATTTTATATCCATATATCTATACCATGAACGTTCATTTTTGATATTGGTAAAGTTTTCCACCAGACTGATGATGATATATTTTATTCATTTAATTAAAAATGACAATTTCTATATAATTTATATGCATTTTATTCGTTTATAGAAGACCGAAATAAATTTTATTCTCCAATTAAGAATAAAGGATATTAATTTTAGAATACTTAAAATGAATTTTATTCTTAAAGTAGAATAAATAAAATAGAATTTATTTTATTTAAAATTTAAGAATAAATTTTAAGAAAATATTCTTAATATGAGAATAAATTTGTTTTGTGTTAAAAATACTTAAATGTAATTTATTCTTAAATTCAGTAGACATATCTATTAATAATAAAATAAGAATATATTCTTAGTATTTTGGAATATATTAAATTTATAATGTATTCTTATTTTAAGAGTATAATATTTATACGCGTGAATGTATTTATCATGGATCTATTTGTTTTTGGGTGTAATAATATGGAATTTAGTGGGACTTAAAATCGGTTTTAGCAGAGGAAGAGAAATACCTCGAGAGTTACAGTAAACATGCCTTGTTTTCGTTTCCGACTTCGACGCTGGTTTCCGATTTCCGCAGAGTTGGGGTTTATGTATATATATATATATATATATATATATAGATTGAAATTACGAGATAGGGAAATGAAGAAAGAGAATACCCCTTTAAAAGATACCGTGTTTCAAATCACTTTTAACTATTTTCATTCGTATTTTATTTAAAAATGTAAAATAATTATATTATAATTATATAAAATACAGAGAAAAAAAATATTCTTGAAAATAGAGGGGAATTCCTCTTTGCAAAGATCCTCTTGAATCAAGAATAGAACTCTTAATCGGAAAATATTTTCCTTTTTTTTTGATAGAGGAATATTCTTGAATAGAGAATAATCCTCTTAAAATAAGAGGAATCTTTTTTGCGTGATATAGAGAAAAATATGTACTAAAATAAGAGGAATTTTCTTAAATCAAGAATATATTTTTGTTCGGTGTACAATAATAAAAAAATGAATATAAAAAAAATACTTACAATATAAAAAGCAGGTGTATAAAGACCAAAAGCAGCTGATCCTGCTGCCAACATGAGCATTCTAACAGGACGACAACTTAATGGACGCAGATCGACCAAACGTTGTGGTGCTTTAGTCGCTGATTTTTTTTCGCGAAGTTTACTTTTCTGATTTTTAAGATGTACAATTGCACGACGTTGTGGATGATATAGTGATGCGCTTCTATAAATTAAGCCCAAGAAAAATGTCACTGTAAGTGCACCAGTCACAGACTGTAGTCCATGCCTCCAACCTAATTTTCTAAAAAAGCAACAAAAAAAAAAAAAAACAATAATAATATTAATTTTTTTTAAACTAGATTAAAATTTTTCAGATTGTCTGATTGTGCATTGACTTATACTAATTAGATGTATTCAAGCAAATTTAGAATTTACTTTGTCTGATTGTTTATTGATTTGTACTACTTAAAATATTTCTTAAACACATTATTCTGGTTTATATTAACATTGTCTAACTATATATTGACTTGTACTACTTAAACAATTTTTTAAACAAAATAGTAGTTTAAAATTCCCTTCGTATGATCCGTCATTGACTTGTACTACTCAGAATACCCTTAAGACAAAATTATAGTTTTAATTTTGCCTTTTGGCTGATTGTTTAATTATTTTTTTACTACTTAAAATCGAATGAATTAATTTTAAAAATTATTGCGTCTGATCTTACATTGACTTATACTACTTAAATTACTGCTTCATGAAAATTCTACTTATTAAAATTTATATTAGCTGATTGTACATTGACTTATACTGCTTAAAATGTCCCTCCTTCTAAATTTTCTTTGACCGATTATCTATTGACTTGTACTACTTAAAACAGCATTAAATAAAATTCCACTTATTCAAATGTACATTGCCTGATTGTACATTGATTTACAATACTTAAAATTCAAAAATTCTAGAATTCAATGTACATTGTCTGATCGTCAATTGACTTTTTCTACTTAAGAAAACTAAAATTGATTTTGGCTCCTTAAAGTCTATCTTTGGCAAATTTTTAAATTATAAATGCCTGATAGTGCATTGACTTGTACTACTTAAAATACTCAATAAACAAAATTTTTTACTTTAAATTTCCATTCGTATAATTTTTTCGTATGACTGACTTGTACTACTTAAAAAATACTAATTAGACAACATTTTAATTTTACAATTTTTACTTTTAGTTGTACTTCTTAAAATAACTTTAAAATTTTAGGCTGACCATACATTGATTTTTACCCAGATACGTGGTAAAAAAAATGTCTACAACAAATTTTATCCTACTTAAAGGCGTTAAAACGTCTATGCGCTTTCAAAAATTCTGCGTAACAAAAATTATACCACTTATTTTTTGTGATATATAAAATTTAAAGAGAAATGTTTTTTTTACTCAATATTTATTTTTTTAGGACATTCAACCTTGAACTTGAATCCATTGAAAAATCCCATGGGAGAAGTTTTTTCTTTTTATTTCATTTGAAGTGTATATTTTTGTTTGTGTGTGTGAAGGTGAACGACTGAATGAGAATTGTGTATTTGTTTTGGGGCCAGGGAACACAAGGTTGACGAATAAACTTGGCACTCGAGTATAACGTGGGCGTTACAAGGTTGTACAACATACCTATATATATATATATATATATAAATAAACACTAAACACACATACAAACACATAGTACAATTTATTTGCTAACGTTTATATGTGAAAGTGTATATATGGGGCAAAACTCCATCGAGATGAAGTGTTGAACTGTTGAATCAAACTAGCGGTACGAAAATTACACTTGCGAATACTACGATTCTACAAATTATTTCTGACAACTTTTATATATACATATAAAATTTTAAATTCTATATTTACACCTGTCTGACTGTTCATTGACTTGTACTACTTAAAAAATACTAAATCTTGTTTTAAGTAGTACATGTCAATAAATAATCAGTTAAAGTAAATTTAAAAGTAAAATTACGTCTAAGGGGTATTTTAAGTAGTCAATGTATCTCTGTTCCAGTGAAATTTATCGCTGTTTCAGGTAAAGATTTTTTTTCCGTGTAACCAAATAATTAATAAAAATATTACTTTTGGCAAATTTTCGCTAATTATTGTTCTCAAATATGAAAATATTTTTTGTGTATTATAAATATATATGTATAAGATTTTGTATATATCTTTGATTTCGATTTGAAACACTTGAGCATACACTTGAACTTGTAATAGCAATTTCAGAGGATTATTAGTTTTCCCAAGCTGTTGGTGTAGCTCTTCTATAAGCGACCTGGCATTATAGGTCACTTTGAGAGGATGAAATCCAGAACAATGAAGAGAGCAATATGAAATGGTACTTGCTACTTGCATCATAAAAACAATCATCAATAGTAGTTTCATAATTACGATCACATTTAAAGTACATATAATTATTTAAATATATTCGTAAATTTAATTATATTTGAATCTTTTAGAAAATCCACACACTAAATACAAGTATAGAAATAATTTCAAAATAGGTTAAAATTTTGTTTGTATTTAAGTTTCACTGTATATATAGAGAATTAAGCAGATAATTACATTCTACTTGTAAGCACTTTCTTGCACTGGATAATGAATGTTCAAACCAAATTCGTATTTTAGCGTGTGTTTCACAAAGACTGGAAATTTGATTTAATTAAATGTCGGTTGTATAAGCAAACGAATGTCTTTGCTTTCATGTAATGCGGTATTTGAAACAAACAGAACCCTATCAACAAGGGTATAGAGGAATAAAGCTCTCCTACTCAGTGTACAGTAATTATTGTCTTTTGTTAAAAAAAAAGAAAGCTCTTCTATTTCAAATTTAAAGGCGAAAATTGCAAACTGTTATATTAAAACAAATATATATTTTTCGAATATTTCATACGGACAAAAAATCATTATCTGGAACAGCGATATATGTTTCTCTAGAATAATAAAAACTTTCTCTGTTTTAATAAAACATATCGCTGTTTCAGTGAAATTTATTTTTATTCCAGGTGAAATTTTTTTTCCATGCAACAAAATTATATTTAAATAAATATATTCTTGTCCGTCAAATTTAATAAATAAATAAATATTTTTTTAGAATATTTCAATAAAATTATATGTACAATTTTTTTTTTAGTTTTACAAAATAAATAGGATTTTAATTTTTGTAAAGTTATGTTAATTCAGAATTTACTTTATCTGATCGTATGCATATTGAGTTATTTAAAATATTCTTTAGACAAAATTCTAGTTTCTAATTTATTTTGTCTGACATTACATTGACTTGCACTACTTACCGCTTTAGATTTACAATTTAAATTTTAATTGTGTCCAATTGTTTATTTACTTGTACTACTAAAAAATAAACTCTTAAACAAGGTCCTGCATTAAAAAAAAACTTCGCCGAACAATACATTGACTTGTTCTACTTCAAATTTATCCCCTTAGGAAAAAATTCTACTTTAAAATTTTATACTAACTGATTCTGCATTAATTTTTTTTTATTTTAAGTTTTTAATTCAATTAATTTTAAATTGCAAGGCTTCAAAATGGTTAGTTTTTTTGTAAAAAAAAATCAGAATCTTAAATATAGGGATATAAAGTTACATATATGTAATATATATATATATGATTTGGTAATAAGCCAATAGCTATTCCACACACGTTAACTCGAATCGAGATATTCTCCAGGTTAATTGTACCCGATCTTGATTGTGAAGAGACCATATCTCTGATTGCACATCAAGTTGAGCAGTTCGGGTACATAAACTGATGAACACATTCGGAGTATATGTGCTGATAATTTCTACATCTATTTTCATTTCATATTCAGAAATAGTAAATAATAAATAAAGTAATAAAAATAATATAATAATAAAATAATAATTATTATAATAATAAATAATAATAAAGAGAAGAAAAAAAAATGTTTACCTGGAACAGTGATATGTTTCACTAAAACAAAGAAAGTTTTTACTATTCTATAGAAATATATCGCTGTTCGAGATAAAGATTTTTTTCCATGTGGAATTTTAAAATAAAATAGTATTATTATTATTATTATTATAATTATTATTATTATTATTATTATTATTATTATTATTATTATTATTATTATTATTATTATTATTATTATTATTATTATTATTATTATTATTATTATTATTATTATTATTATTATTATTATTATTATTATTATTATTATTATTATTATTATTATTATTATTATTATTATTATTATTATTATTATTATTATTTGATATTCTTATTGGGTAAGATAAATTTATGCCAAGGAGCGTATAATAATAAATAACTCACCCAACAGCCTCCTTGTAGAAAACACTGAAGAGTACTATCCCTACGCCCGTTCCAGCTTGCACTATCATTTCAACAAATTCGAGCCGTTTCCTGAAGTAATGACCCAGCACTAGACCCGCTGTTTCCTTTACCAATCCAGCTCCCGCTCCCAACACCAGACCATAGCTATTGCATTAAAAAAAAGTAAAAACAAAAAAAAAATTAATCCAATCAGTTTTTATAGTACAATAACCATTTTAAATCAATTATTTTTTAACTCAAAATTTTTAACAAAAAAAAAAATAGTAAATTATTTTTCTACAATTTTTTTTTTTTTTGCACCGAATTTTCGAAAAGTTCACATAAAATTCAAAAAAAAAATTTTTTTTTAAATTTATGCATTTTTAATAGGAAGCATGCAATAAAAAAAAATCATTAAAATTGTGAAATTTTGAAAAATTCATATCTCATAAATAAAGAAATCCTATTATACCAAATAAAGAAGTTTTAGAAATGAGATTTTATATAGGAAAAAAAAAAAATTAGTGAATAAAATTTTTCGCGTGAAATATATATGTGAAAGTCGTTCAAGTTAACTAGAAGATTTTATCTATTACAGCGACTGTGCGCGCACGCATATAAATGAAATTCATGATTGTTTCACGCAATACAACTATATAACTCCAATGAAAGGGATCATTAAATGCGTATATAAAATATACTCTCGTTATTCGTCACACAGGTGACAGTTTACGTCAAAAGACACAAAACATAAAATATCGAGTGTATTCGAATTTCCACATAACATTAAATTACCTCGCGATCTTTATTACTTGTTGTTACTGTTATATACATATATATATATATATATATAAACTTGATAATGTTTATCTCCATAACTGGATGCTTTCTATTACAGGGCCAAAAGTGCAACTCTAACAGCAATAAACTATTCTCGAGAAAAACACATTTACCCTTTTTTTTTTGTTACAAGAAATTTCCATATTAAAAAAACCATAAAAATCATTCATTGCAATTTTCATTTTAAAGAATTTTATACCAGAAATAATTCTTTTTTAGACGAATTTTTACTTAACAAAATTTTTAGCAAACCAATTTTTTTGTTTGCTAAAATTTTTATTTTACAATCATTTTCTTTACATGAATTTTTATTTTAAAAAATTTTAATTTAAGCGAATTTTAATTTTTAAATCATGTTTTATTTTTAATTTCTCTTTTTTCTCCCTCTGTGATAATTAGAATGAATTTAAAAAAGCAAAAAAAAAAAAAAACATATTTGGACCTGTGCTGGTTTGCCACAAAAAAAATAGAGGAAAAAGAAAATAGTGGTTAGAAGTCCAAAAGAATTAAAAAGAAATACAGTTGGACTGTAACTTTTAAGGAGGTAGTGTGTCGGGAGTTAGAAAAAAAAAATTCTGAGAATAATGGCATTGGAGCAAAAATGTTAGGTTGGGTGAATTGTTTGAGTTTAAAAGTGAGCGTCAAACCCTTAAGTCTTAAATAGAAAATGTTCTTTGTCTTACTTTTTCTCCTTATATAACACAAAGTGTATATAAACCCCCTCCCTCTTTTTATTTTACCTTCACCGACTGATGTCCCGTGAAAATTGTCATTTTTATAATATTATTTAAAATTATTATCTTTATTATTATATATAAAAAAAATATATATTCTTAAAAATTTTCCATAAACGATGGAGTAAAAATACATATTCATTACATTGAAAATAAAAATAGATTTTGAATTTACATAAGGGGATTCAATTTTTTTTTCAAAATCTTTACACAGAAAAAAACTGAACTCAGAATGAGCCGTGTAGGCGGCTCATTTTGATGTGCAACAAAAATGAACCAGGTTGGTGGCGCCACTGTCTATGTCGTTTAGCATTGGCTCATTTTGATTTGCATCAAAAATGAGACAAGGTTTTTTCTATATGAAAATTAAGAAAATACGTATTTTCTTATTTTTTATAAAGATTTCGAAAAAAATGTTCCAATAATAAAAATTTTTAATCAAAATACATAAAACTATCGGCAAACATAAGCTATAATTTTTTTTTCTACAAAATAAAAAACTTGTGGCTGCTTTTGAGATGAAAGAAATCGAAACTTCTGATATTTAAAAAGAAGTATCTAAGAAACTTTGGTAAAGACTCACTCTTTTTTTTTAATTCTTATACATGTTATATTGCAAGAAAGAGAGAGAGAGAGAGAGAGAAATAAAGTAAAAAAGATGAAAGTCAAAAGTTACCTTTACCTTAATATAACCTGATGCATCTGAAGAGCGAACGATGTGAAAAGAGATGCCAAGGCTAAAACGAGTCCACCAATCACTGCGATGAGTCTGGTGCTACCACGACGACATGCACCAACAACCAGAGGCGCCGAACCACGTGACACTGCGGCACTTAAAGCTCCAACCCAAGCTGAAACATTAATCTGCTTGTTACTTTAGGGGAAAACACGAGTTTTCCTTCCCCCCCCACCCTTCTTTTTTTCCTTTTATACATGAATTTCATCTCTCACCTCTCGACAAAACTTAACCTAATCACATCATGTGGTCACTTTCAAAGAACCACCAAACTCGCACAAGACAAAAAAAAAGGAAAACATTCTCTACCGAGTTTCTTTGCACTCAAACACGAAAATACTTTTCTTGTATTTGAAGTAAATGAAGAAATTCACTTTTTTTAAAAAAATATTTTACTTTCAATAGTAAAAGTATAATATTTAAAAAATCAAAAAAATTCTATAGAATTTGACTAGAATCCTTCTATAGAATTTCTACATGAATTCTATCTATCTGTGAGAAGGAGAAGTTTTAATATTTTTGTCTAAATTTAATCTAGATTTGATAAAAAAAAAAGAAGAAGTTTACTAGACTAAGCTTCTGAAGAAAATATTCAAACACCTTCTTCTCACAGAGAGTAAAGTTTTCATTTGTAGGCATTTTTTCTTCCGAATTTTTTTTTTGTAAACAATAGTTTATTGTTCAATTCCACAATTGCACGAAATAACGCGAGTTTATATATTGAGAGAGAGAGAGAGAGAGAGAGAGAGAGAGAGAGAGAGAGAGAGAGAGAGAGAGAGAGAGAGAGAGAGAGAGAGAGAGAGAGAGAGAGAGAGAGAGAGAGAAGGAATATCGAAAATGAAAGGAAGGTCTTGTAGTACGATACACATTTTGAATAATTCATGTCCCGTTGGTCTGTAAGTACAACCACAGACAGGAAGCACCCGATTCGAGTTCCGAAAGGACTCGAGTACGATAATTTTCATCCCATCGATATTCAATGGTAAATAAAGTCTCTAACCTACCTTTCTACATATATATAAAAAATTTACTAATTATTCTATTCATTATTTTCTATGTAGGGGAGAAAAAAAATTATTTTATTTTTCATAAATAATTATAAAATAATAGTAATAATAATAATAATTATTTATAAGCGTAAAATGCTTTTTGATATCAAAAAGTACATAAATGAACATATTTCCTACTACATGTAAATTTTTGGGGTGAATTTTATTCATGAAATTGAAATAGTTGAAGCTGTCAATGTCAATTGAGGCAGTTTTGTAACCACGTGACTTCATCGACAATGCACATTGCGGTTATACAAAAGAACCGGCGACATGCATCGAATTCTATATATCGAACCTTTAATTAACATTCTGATACGTTGACACGACAACTTTTTTTTGGTTTCTATATATCTGAATTTATTTAAAAAAACACATATATAACGCTACATTTGTTACAGATTTATCGAACTAGAAAAAAAACACACATCTGTGGTGTACCGAGACTTTTCCTTTTTATTTTATTTCTTTCATTTTTTTTTTGCTACATCAAAATGTATAGAAGCAGACTCACACACATTGCGGGTGAAAAATATTGTCCTCGAGGCAAAAGGTAAAAAAAAGATGAGAAAAACGATCAAGAAAAAGTATCGACTTCCACACACATATATATATATATATATGTATTGAGAAACTGCCTTTTAGAGACTAATCAATCATTTATTTCGACACTGGACAGATTTATTTATTATAATAAATTATATGTATAAAAAATTATATATATATAAAAATTTTATATCAAAAATTATAGGATTTTATAACTATTTTTATTTTTTTTTTATGTATATTATTACTATTACTATAAACAATTGCGTTCTTAATAATTGGTATTTAATAATTAACGGTATTTTTAAGTTGTAATTTATATATAAAATTAATGTGTATTTTCAATTTTATTAGAATTTTTGTTGTAGTTTCAATTTTTGTTGAGATATAAATAAATTCAGAGTATTTTGGAAACTGATTTTTTTTTGTATATAAATATTTCGTAAACTCACGAAAAAAAAAATATTTCTATCTCAGCTTTAGATTTTTTTTTATCACACAATGAAAAAAAAGTAGTATTTAGAAGAGATTTTTCATGATTTTAATGTTTTTTATGCTTTTCCGATTGAAAACAATGTCACAGTATTGTTTTCAGTTAATCCACATATTGAAAAAGAAATTCTTCATGTGAATTTTTTTTTTTCAACGATAACATTTCATGATTAACATGTATTGTAAATTTTAAACTAAAATAGCATAATCTAAAAGAGTGTAATTTTATTAAACTACATAAAAAAGGCATTAAAAATCATAATTATAATTACTTTGGTAATTACGATAGTTTAGAGAATTTAATTCTTTTTAAGCAATATTTCTAGGATTTTTCATGTACAAATGTACTGCGACAATAGAATAAATGTAACATTTCCTTCTTTACCGACAGAAGGTAAGGTAGTCTTTAATATAATCGTAAATTTCGTTTCATTTCTTTATCGATTAGGTAGGTTTCTACATACTCGACAATTGGCGAGCATGAATTTTATTTTTCTTCCTTACCGGCAGAAGGTAAAGCAGGATTAAATATTATTAACAGTCGGTAAAGGAAAAATTTGTTCTTTCTTCCTTACCGATTAAATATGATCAACAGTCGGTAAAGCAAAATTTCCGTTTTTTCATGACTTTGTATATTTAAGTGTATTGCTTAATTAATATTATAGTTTCAATTTCCCAGCCTTTTGTAATTATAATTTAATATTTGTAATTGTAATTGCTTTTACTATTATACTATATTATTTACAGTTTGATATTAGAAGCTGTTTGACTTTATAATTCGGATAAAATTATATCTGTAGAGACAATATTGTGAAACGCTAATAAATGCAGTTAATTAATCCAGAATAATTACTGCAGACATGTTACAAATTATGCAATGTAAACACGTATATATACATACGTAAATGTATTATTGAGCATAAAAATAAAATTATCTCGATCATCTCATTAATTTACTGAGATAAATCTGAATAATATATACATGAACACTCCTGGTGATAATTGTTAATATCGATTCTCAAAAAAATAATACATTATTTAAAAAAACAAAAAATAAATAAAAATTAACTCTTTTTCTCTAATTCTCTAGATCTGAATTAGTAAAAATTTGCTAATAGACAAAAACCAATTACTAATTTAAATTATGAGTGTTTTTTCTATTTTAGTAAATATATAGTTCACGGCCTTTGCGAATATCACTCAGTGTGTGATATAATTGCGAGTGACATGGCCTAGACCATGCCGATAATTTTTGCACTCTCGATTGAACATTAGAATTTAACATAAAATGATTGATTTACAATTTATACTTTTTTCCCCATAAGGTCAGTGTTTCAAGGTATTTTTTTTAATTATAAAAAGTCACCCTATACAAACTATATATGCCATTTTATAAATAATCACATTTCTGATGAAATGAAGTCTGCTAAGAAAAGATTTCATTGAAAATTGATATATATATATATATATATATATATATATTATATATAAAATAAATAATAATAATGATAATAATAATGATAATAATAATAATAAATAAAATTTTTAAAAAAGTAGTAAAATTAACCAACAATGAAATTTTATTAAATCAAAGTTATAAATTACGGTTCAATATAAACATGAACGTTATTTTCAGAATCTATTAACAAAGAATCCAATTTTCCTCGACTTCATAAATCAATATAAAGTTTTAATTAAATTTCAGCTTGACTCTATATATATAAATGGAGAGAGCAACGACGCTTAAAAACTCTTTTCGTTTAACTTTCTAAACAAATTAATATCTAAACAAATTATTGTTTCTCACACTAAATAAGCAATGACTTCTGTTTAAACTTTCAATAATAATTATTTATCGCGAAAAAAATGTTCATAATTTTTAATTGAATATAAATTATTATTATTATTATTATTATTATTATTATTATTATTATTATTTAATACTATTAGTAATACATTTTTATTATCATTTTTACTACTGGTAAGATGAGTCGTGAAATGAACGTACTTAGTGGTTAGAAAATTGAAAGATTAAATTTTCCAAGGTGCGCGTGTTTTTTGTTCAAAAAAAAAAAAAAGAAAGAAAATACCACATACTTTATTGGAAGTTGAAAAGATGCTTGTGTGTGGGGTCTTTCAATGGCCACAAGAAAGATATTTTTGAGGTCGAAAAAGATTTACAACTTTTGTACGCTTGTCGCGAACACGAATCTACCATCCGGCTTTTTGGTGATATACACACAAACACACACATACAAACACATTTATAGAACGTGTGCAATCATGATATTACTGATACTTAAAAGGATTTAGTAGAAACCTTCGACTCTTATTTACTGAACATTCTTTTATAGTTGCATTGGAGTTGGGAATTCAATCTAATAGATCCAATGTGCAATGATCTGGTCCAGCAAAGTCCTATATATATATATCGCATTGTGTTGGTCTTTTAACAAAATAATTATATACTTTATATTATTATTTTTGTTATTTTAGTCTGTGTTTTTTTTCGATTTGATATTAGGTCTGACAAAAATTTTCTTTTACTACTAATAATACAACTACCTAAAAAAAAATTTTTTTTACTCTTCTGTCTGACTAAAATTGACTTCTACTACTGCTACCAAAAATTTTAATACCGACGTTTGACTAAAATATACTTTTACTACTGATACTAAAATTACAAAATTCTGTCTGACACTAATTTACCTTTACTACTAATATCAAAAATAGAAAAATTAAAACCCTGTGCTGTATGATTAAAATTTACTTTTATCACTGGTAGCAAAATAAAAAAAATTTACTCTTCTGTCTGACTAAAATTTACTTTTACTACTAGTAATAAAACTACAAGAACTTAAACCTTTCTGTCTGACTAAAAATTTACTATTACTACTTATATAAAGAATATATAAATTTTTAGTCTTCTGTCTGACTAAAATTTACTTTTACTACTTACAATAAAAATAGAAGAATTTTTCTTTAAATTTCACAAAGAATTTTTTTTTCTTGTATACATATAAAATTT